AGTTCCATATTCTATAAAATATCCAGAAAAATAGTAAAAAAAAAAAAAAGAACTAATAAATATAAATCTGAAATGGCTACTTATAACCCTGAAGCAGTATAAGTCACAGGAATCAGAAAGTAACAAACTGCGTAGATATGCTTTGTACTTCTTTGCATTACGTCTGATTTAAAGTACTCATTAGTATTTATGAACTAGTAAAATGGTAGAAGTTGGTTAAATACTCTAAGTACATGGCAGTTCATTGGTTCTACATTTTTTGTTCTGTACCATTCACTCTATAGTCAGTGTTTGAGTCTGAATTACTCCACTTTCTCTACAGTTATTGAAAATGGCATATCTCATTACAACCATGCTATTACATTTATGTTCCTAAACCCACCTAATAATTTCTATACCCCAATCTAGCAGCTCAGTGTCACTTACACTTGTTCCAAGGTTTACTTGGACATTCTTACATTACAGCCAATTGTTAGAGCTTAATCAGTTGAATCATATATCGTTGAGGAAAGAATTCGGTTATGACTAACTTTCTACTTAAGCATTAAGATCACCTTGTCCTTTTTATTAATCTATAATGGAAATTAATTAGCAATAAGTTTTCAATTCCCTTACCTTGGATTTAAGCAGTTTATGAATGATTTCACAGCTTCCAGATAATTAATTCTGCTACTATTTGATCTTTAATCAACACTTCAGACTCTCCTGCTTAGATTTTATGGTGCCCTGCAGCTCTTCGACTATAATTTCACTGGATTTTCAAGTCCTAAAACAAAACCAAGCTTCCAGGTGGAATAATAGAAGAAAATAAAACACAAAAGAAAATTAAAAAATGATGCTTCAGTTCAATACATAATGAATACATGAATAAAAAAATGAAGAAAAAATGTAAAATCAAATACTTCTTCGGGTTACCAATTTCTTGCCATTCGTTTACAAACCTGGCTGAGGTTTTATAACCTTTACCAATCTATTAAATTTATCAAATTAGTATTTAAATCTATTAAAATTAATATTTTAACTTAATATTTAGAAATATTCTTAGTACATGAAATAGATCAATCTGATATTTAATGTATGTAACAGAATTTTAATCATATTTTTACCACAAAAGAAAGCAACTACAGGATGCTCATCATCCAATGGTTATATATTTAAAAGCATTCAGAATCCAGCAGTTACACGAAGTACCTACATGCCAGCAGTTAGTTCTGTATTGTGGTTTTCACATACAATATGAAAATTGCAATTAAAGTTCCAATTTTCTGCTGCAGAATCTTTGGTATAAAATAACGCCTGATTCTACCAACCAATATCAAACACTGTAGATAATTTTTTGTAGATGTGAATTCACTGTTCATATAAATTAATGGTCTGGTTTTACAGGTAGAAAGTTGCTATATGGTATTGCTAAACATGTGGATATTAGTTCAAATTTAAACACACAGAGAGATTCTGCTTGCTAAATGTTTTGCACAAATAATTTTATTGAGTTAAATTTTTCACAAATAATTTGTTTTATGAAGTAGAAAAGCAGATTATCTGTTTGATAGGATGATAACATATAGTGTGAGAGCATCCTGGATACAAGGGTTGTCATTTTTTTAAAGATTTATTATTATTATTATTATTATTATTTTTATTGGAAAGGCGGATATACAGAGAGGAGAGACAGAGAGGAAGATCTTCTGTCCGATGATTCACTCCCCAAGTGAGCACAACGGCCGATACTATGCTGATCCGAAGCCAGGAGCCTCTTCCGGGTCTCCCATGCGGGTGCAGGGTCCCAAAGCTTTGGGCCGTCCTCGACTGCTTTCCCAGGCCACAGGCAGGGAGCTGGAAGGGAAGCGGGGCTGCCGGGATTAGAACTGGCGCCCATATGGGATCCCGGGCGTGCAAGGTGAGGGCCTTAACCACTGCGCCACCGCGCCAGGCCCAAGGGTTGTCATTTTTGTACATTATATTTCTACCTGCAATGCTGGCATTGCACATGGATACCTGTTTGAGTCCTGGCTGCTCCACTTCTGTCTAATCCAGCCTCCTGTTAATGCAACTGGGAAAACAGCTGAAGACAATCCAAATGTTTGTGTCCCTGCCACCCACTTGGACACTCGGCTAAAACTCCTGGTTTTAACCTGTCTCAGCCCTGAGTGAAGCAGCAGATGAACAATGCCGTTAGCCTCTGATCTCTGCTACACTACCTTCCAAGTGAGTGCATTTAAAAAAATGCTTGATATGAAATTCATCTAATTGGAGTAATACTAAAATGTGAAGACAGTAATACTGTAGAGATTACTTCAACCAACATCACCAGCAAGACATTATCTAAAAATCATTAGCTTGTTTAAAAAAAGTTTATATAGAGGATGGACAGAATTATAGAATTTAATGACTAAAGAAGAATATTATTTTGATTTTTATCAAAAATTGCAATTGCTTACAGGTGGTTGCAGTAGTGCATTAAGCGGTTTGCACTTTGTTTTGTTTGACTCCTAATATTTATCTTGGTATTTCTGCAGGCTTGTAGGCTTTCATAAGAAAATTCAAAATGGGAATGATGAACTTTTTTCCTAGGAAATGAAAAAGCACTGAAAGGGCCATAATCCCATTGAACAATCAGACCAAATTTATGTATTCGTAGACATGCATGTAAATGTAATGATGAAGTAAAACCCAGGGCAATCTGCTAGAGCAGCAAAATCTTCAAAAGCTAAAAAATCCCAGAGAAACTGAAATCAACTAGAGACACGAGCAATTTATCATTTTAGGTCAGTTACTTGAGTTTGGCAAATCTAGACAGAAGTCCATTGCAGAGTAATACAAACAAACTGCATTGCTGAAATCTTACAGTACAAGGAGGCAGAGGTCAGCGTTATGCGATAAGGGATGTTGGTTGCTTACGCGGCTTTAGATCCCAAATAGAAGAAAGGCCCAGAAATGTGGGGCTCTTTTAGTTTGGAATCTTTATCAAAATTCTTTACCAATTTCTATTATGCAAAGGCTATCAGATAATGGAATGTAAAATTAAATGTGACTAAATTTAAAGCAAGGGAAAATTTTAACCAGTTATACCATTCTGAAATGACCAAAAACGTAGCTCAGTAAACAGTCCTTTTGAAATACCTCAGGGTCAGTTAGAATCCAGAGAGGCTACTTTCTTCCTTCAGGGACAACAGGCATGACATTATGTCATGATTTCCACAGTTGTATGGAGCACAAAAACTGATGATCTGTTGTTGCGGTATCACAGATCAAGCTGCCGCCCGCTATACCAGTATCATATATCGATGACAGAGTGAATCCTGGCTGCTCCACTTCCAAGCCAACTCCCTGCTAATCTAATGCACCTGAGAATGTGATGGAAGACGTCCCAAATGCTTGGGCCTCTGCACCCATGTGGGATATCCAATTGGAGCTTCTTACTCTTGGCTTTAGAACTCTGATCAATGTGGCCCTCTGGGGAATAAATCAGTGAATATATGTCTTTCTCTCCCAGCACCCCCCCCATATCTCTCTATAGCTCTGCTTTTCAAATAAATATATCTTAAAAAATAAACTCATGAACTAAGATGCCCACACATTTTATATTTAACATGGAAATTAGATGGAAATGAATAAATAACAAGCTCCGTATCTGTAATAAACAATCTATGTGTGTATTTTGATGTTTGGATACTCACAACTCTTTAAAGATTTGTTTATTTGTATTTATTTATTTATTTGAAAGAGTGACAGAGAGAGATGAAGAGACGGAAACATCTTCCATGCACTGACTCACAAGTGCCCAGGGATTACAGGCTGAAATCAGGAGCCTAGAACTCCAGCCTGGTCTCCACTGACAGTATCAGGGATCCAGTTATTTGTACCATCGTTCGCTGCATTTTCCAGGTGCATTTGTAACGAGAAAAGCACATGATCTGTAACGCAAACTGACACTCCGATTGAGAGATTCGTATTTCAAGTTGTGCTTTAACCTGCTGCACCAAGATGTCCATCCCTATTCCAAAATTTAAGATTCCTGTTCTTAATTTCTCTGTGACTAAATTCGAACAAATGGATATGAAATTATATGAAATAATGTCTGAACATCAATGAAATATACAATTTTAAATTTCTCAAGTAAATTGACCTAGATGTTTCCATGGCACATATCATGGTTTCTGTTCTTCCACCAAAGGAACCTGACCTCTGAATGGGAGAGCCACTTGGGCTGGGAGTCTATTCTTTTTGAATTCTGTTTCAGTTTTTGTTATACTTCAAGCCTGACCCTGATAGGAACCTGTAGCAGAACAAGCAGATGAAAGGAATTCATAGTCTAATCAGAATTAGTATCAAAGAGAAAGATAAGTCTAGGGAGAGTGGTTGACTCTCAGTGCAGACATAATGAACATGGATACACTGGTCTTTTTAGACACAGTGTAATAGAATGATGGACTTCTGACTGTTGCTGAAGGACTCTGCTATTGTAATAACATAGGGGAATACAGTGGAAGGGGGAGAGGGTGATTGGGAGGGTGAAAGGGAAATCCCTGAGCCTATGGAACTATATCAGGAAAAATAAAAATTAAAAATAGAAAGAAACAAAAACAGTGTAAGTGTCCCTGTTGGGAGATTACTTACTATTCTTAGGGCATAAGATACAAACTTACATTCTTGCTCTTTCTGGACCTTCAGCTCTTTCTGCACCTTCAGCTCTTTCTGCATCCAACTCCAAGAATCAGGAGTATCTTAAGTTGCTAAAGACGCTCTGGGTTTACAACTTAGTCTTAATTGCTGATTAATCAAACTCGAAATTTTATGGCTTCTCTTTCGCGCCTGAAGAGCACTGAGCATTAGCAGTTCAATGAGATAGTACTCACTCTGTCCTCACTTCTCTAAAACCTGAAGCTTGTATTGCCAGGGTATCCTTTCCCACCTCCACTTATCTCTGAAAACCTTTTGACAATTGCACCACTAGCGTATGCCTGAGGCTGCCATTATTGCATTCACTTTTTTTTTTTTTTAATTTGGAACACTTCACAAATTTGTGTGTCATTCTTGCACAGGGCCCATGCTAATCTTCTCGACATCGTTCCAGTTTTATTATGTGTTCTGCTGAAGCGAGTGCATTCATTGTTGATGCTCCTCACTGTCACCCTGTTAGCAGTTAAGTCAACTGCAAAAACTCACTTTATAGATTTCCTAGAAAAACTACAGTTAACAACTGTGCCACTTATACTTTTTGGAACCAACTCTACGGTGGAGGTTTCTCAGACTCGAGTTTCCAGGATGACGAAATCATTGAAATGGGTTGGTGAAGCTGAATTCAACCACAATAATTTGAAAGCAAAGTCTCTAACGATGCCTTTGGGAGTTTTTTACATTGGTCCCTAATTGAGATGGGGGCGTGGTGGGCAGCCGTGGTCATGTGCAGTCTGACTGTGAAAATGTCCAGGCACAGTTCTCTAACAAGGAAACACCTGCATTTGTCAGCCATGAAAAGAAGTGCCTTGGTCTGGATGGCAGCTTTTGACAGTAAAACCCAGTTTCCACTATATCAGACTTGTGTAATTCCAGTTTGATCATTTAAAACTGTTCTTCGGCCATAGATATCAGTATAGAAGGTAAGATAATAATGACTTAAATTTGATTTAAAAGGAATTTTGTGATAATGTTCCATTTGAGGTATAAAAAGTGATTACATAGGTAAAAATAATTTATGAAAAATCAACAAGCCACACAATTATACATTGTGTATTTTTTTATCCATGTAATATTACAAATAGAAGTTTACTTTAGGGACCAATATATAGGCACAACAGATTCAGCTGTCCTTTGCAACATAAGCATGCCAATTAGAGTTTGTTATGGAGTTTATGTGAGTCTGGAAACCTAGGCAGACTTTCTGGCTCCTTGCCTTGCCTGACTCCAACCTACCTGCTGTGATCCTTCCATAGTTGATTCAGGGGAAGGTAGACAGCAATCTGTCTCTTTCTCTCTGTTTCACCCTCCACCTTGCCCCTGATACTGTCTTACAATTAAACAAACATTTAACAGTCAAGCTAGTCTAAAAATTAGTATGACATACACATACTTATCTTCAAACATAAGAATTAAATGGATTATTCCATTCTTTTCTTAAAGTGTTTTTTTGTTTGTTTATTTTTGCTAAATTTTTATTGGAAAGACAGATTTACAGAAAGAAGGAGTTACAGAGAGAAAGATTTGTATTGCTGGCTCACTGCCCAAGTGGTCACGAACAGCTAGAACTGAACCAATTCAAAGTCAGCAGCCAGAAGCTTCATCTATGTCTGCCACACCTGTTCAGGGTCCCAAGGCTTTGGGTTGTTCTTCACTACTTTTCCAGGCCACTAGCTGGTATCTTGATGGGAAATGGAGCAGCCCAGGGCATGAACTGGTGACCATATGGAATCCCAGTTTGTGCAAGGTGAGAATTTAGCCACTAAGCCATCATGGTAGTCCCACTTTATAATTTATAATGGGTTTTCAGTTTTTCTTTTTGTAAGATTTATTTATTATTATTTTAAAGATGTATTTATTTTTATTGGAAAGGCAGATTTTATAGAGAGAAGGAGAGACAGAAAAATCTTGCATCTGCTGGCTCACTCCACAAGTGGCCAAAAGACCAAAGCTGAACCAATCTGAATCCAGGAACTTCCTCCCAGTCTCCAGTTGGGTTCAGGGTCCCAAGGCTTTGGGACATTCTCTATTGCTTTCCCAGGCCACAAGCATGGAGCTGGGTGGGGAGTGGAGCAGTCAGGACTTCAACTGGCACTCATATGGGATCAGGGAATATGTAAGGCAAGCATTTAGCCACCAAGCTGTCACACAGAGCCCTTGTTTGTTATTTTTTGTTTGAAAGGCAGATTTACGGAGAAAGAGAGGCCCTCCATCCTATGGCTCACACCCCAAATGGCCAAACAGATGGAGATGAGCTAATTAAAACGCGTATGCTGAGTTTTCTCCTGATCTTACCCATGAACATAAAGGCATGAGCCCTTGAGCCATTCTCTGCTGCTTTCCCAGTTGAAAACAAGAAGCTGGGTTGGAAGTGGAGCAGCCCCACTTGACACTGGAACCCATATGAGATAACAGCGAGGGAAGGCAGAGGATTAGCTTGTTGAGCTAGCACCAGTTTTACAATAATTTTTAGACTCTTTATATATGTCTATATTATTCAATTTCCATAGTGGATATAGATACTTTTGTTCAAAAATCAGCTTAGTAAATTAACAGTTCAAATGTTTAACTCTTTGCTAAAATATTATTTTTTCAAATTATTAAACTAGGATAAATAAGCTAATGCCAATGACAACTGCCTTAAAATATATATAGTTGGTGGTTGAAAGTTACTTAACCAGTTTGAAAGGATTTTGGAGCCATAGTTGACAAAATTAAAGAAAAGACAATATAATAGCTTGGTGATTACCATCTAAATACCCCATCATTACAATTTGAATGTGTGATTGCTTCTCTTCCTTAAGGAACACTAGTTTACATGGTATTTATTTAGGGACTATTAAATGTAATTATAGGGTACACTTCAGGAGAATAGAAACAGAGCGAAATTTAGTTTTCTACATCTATATAGTCTTAGAGTTAATAGTACTTTAAAAAAGTCATTTCCTTTAATTATGCATTCATTGCTTGTCCCCGCACTTAACTAACTGGTAAATTTGCACAGTGGCCTTTGGAACTGTTTGACATGATGGAACTTTCTTAATATGGAGTCCATCTTACATTGAATGTTTATGGATATTACAGCTGAGGAATGAAATTATTACTCCATATGCCCAAGAGATGTGTTGATGGAAATGATGTCACTTGATGACCTTTGCTACATACTTTTAAATGCAATGCTTCTATGTTTGTGATATATATGTTAAAACTTCAAATAATATGTCCCTTAAGTTTTACTACTATCTGTGGGAGAAATGATACTAAATTTATATGATTTCACATGTACGTATAGCTGGATGACCAAGTTGTTTGCAAAGACGAGAGCAGCTACTTGTGTCAAATAACATTGTTTTGAGGCTGGGCTCCCATATAAAACAAACCACAATAAAAACAAAAACTAAAAATTAAAAAAGGAAAAGCCCAACCATAAAACAAAAACCTTTCAATTTCTTCTCTTCCTCTAACTGACCAAGAAGACTGCGAGGCCCAGAGAAGAGCCAGAAAGCATAGCCTTAACATATGTCGTGAGAGGTTTTCCATGTTTTTCTCCAATAGTTTTGTAGTTTCAAGTTATATCTCATCAATTCAGTTTTCTCTAGGGTGAGTGATGGGAATGGAAGGAAAATTCAGTTTTGATTTAAAATTTTCCTTGCACCAATTTTGAAAGGGTCTGTCCTTTCACTATTTTATGTTGATTGTATATCCATAGATTTATTTCTAAGAACTTTATTTTGTTCCATTGGTCTATTTTTTAAGGTGTTTTTATTTGTTTGTTTATTTATTTATTATTTATTCATTTATATTGGAGAGGCAGTATTACAGAGAGAAGGAGAGACAGAAAGAAAGAGCTTTGCTTATTCATTTCCCAACTGGCCTAATGGCTAGCGCTGAACCAATCTGAAGCCAGGAGCCTGACTTCGTCTGGATCTCCACACAGGTGCAGGACTCCAAGACTGTTAGGCCTTACTCTGCTGTGTTCCTAGGCCACAAACCACAATCTGGATGGGAAGTGGAGCAACTGAGGCATGAATAGGAGCCCATAAAGTATCCTGGTTCTTGCAAGGCGAAGATTTGTGCTGGGCCAAGTTATTTTGAATACATGGCTTCATGATGCTTTTCTCAGCAAGTTAATAATGTATTAAATACTATAGTTGGTATGTCTATTATTTTTTCTAAGATCTTCATGTATTGATCTGGTAATTTGAATATACTTTTGGGGGATTCCTGGCGTTTCTCGGGCTGCAAAGAACACGTTGGATTTCGCCTGTCCCGTTTGTATGTGCTCATTTACAACTCTGGCCTAGTTATTCCAGATTCCAGGAAGTTTCAAGTACAATTGATAAAGAAATGCCCTATCAAGTGGGAGAAAACACATACTAATATAGGAATGTAGTATCTATAACACTTATTTCATAATCTTACATGATGCAAAACATAGTTATGCACCATATTATTATGTGATAGTCATTATAAGGTATGTTAAAGAATTGATATTTGTAAAAATGAGCATCATCGTAATAATAATAATTGATAAATTGAGTAAATAATATGAACAGACACTTCTCAAAGTGCAAAAATCAAATGGCCATTAAATTTCAGAAAAACACAGAACAGCTGAGATGTTAGGAAATAGAAAAAAAAACCCACAATGAAATATCCCGCTTTGACCTGAATGATGATTATCACCAAGACAAATGCTGGGAAGAATCTAGAGCCAAGTCCATCCTCATGCTCTCTTGATGGGAATACAAATGTGTCATTCAGTATGGAAAGCCACATGGATGTTTCTCAAAATCTATAAATCCACTGTATGACCCAGAGACCCATCATCTGAATAACCACCCAAAGGAAATTAAATCAGCATGCATTCTGCATCTTCAAGTTTATGACTGGACTATTCGAAATAGCTAATTTGTGGAACAAATCTAGGCATTATTGACACATGTTCAGGTAAGGAAAATCTGATGTACATACATAATAAAATTTTTAGTTACAAAAATTGTGATCTTCTCATACTTGCACCTATGACGGTAACACTGGAAGACATCATATTAAGTGAAGTAAGGTGGGCACAGACAGAAAAAAAATGCCATATATTCTTTCTCATACATGGAAATTAAATTAAGAAAGAAATCCATCTGAATGCAAAATAGTGATTACTCAAGTTTTGGGGGGATAAGGGTAGAACAAAGAGTAGGACAGAGGAATAGGTACCTAAAACAATCAGATTTTAAAAACATGTTATAATACACAAAATTACAGAGATAATAATCAATAGTGTACCATAATCTGCTTAATATTTTATAAATGACTGGAACAGAAGACCTCAACAGCCCAAAACATAATAGGAATGATGAGACAAAAATGTTAATTGCTATGATTGGATCTGCATACTTTGTATATGAGTCTGTTTAGATACTACATTGT